AATAAGGTACAACTATTATGTTTAAAACGTGTTGCACATTTAAAACGTGGTAAAAAACTAAAACGTGATAAATTTATTAACATGTAGTTGTACCAGTATTTTAGTTGTACAGTCGTATACATAGTTGTACCGAGTTTTGAGTTGTACAACTTTCTACATAGTTGTATTTTGTCTGAAAATTTAAAACTTTTAGTTGTACCAGATATGAAATATATATATCTAAGTTGTACAACTCTCAATTATTTAAAAACATATGCGCACATGCAACTGAATCATTAATTTTGTTAAAATATAATTTTTGTATGTCTTTCAAAAATATAGTGAACAAACTAGTAAACAAACCTTTAAAGTATAAGGTAGATCATTGAAACTTATACCATTGTGTAATAATTGCGAAAACAAAATTTGGTAAAACTTCAAAATATAGGATGGACCACTCTAAGGACCTTCCAACTAGTCTATTCTGTTGTTATTTTCATATGAAAAGCCAAATAGAATTTAACATTTTCAAAATTGAAAAAGTTGTACTGGTTGTACTAGTATTTCCTTCCTCATATATATAAAGTAGTTTTACTAGTTAGACTCGTATTATAATATGTAGTTATTCTAGTTGTACTAATAGTATAACGCGGAAAATGACTATTTTATTATATGAAATTTTACCAGTTGTACCTATAGTACCTCACAAAAACAATACATTATGAAGTTGTTCCAATACAAAATTTTAGAAAACATAAATAGCATCTCTAACACAAATAAGTTTCATAAGACATTAATAAGTTCCACATTTAAAATTGTACATAGTTGTATTTTGGTAGAGAATTTGAAATATGTAGTTGTACCACATTGTAAATAAATAGACCTTAGTTGTACTACTTTTATAAATTTACATACCTAAAATCACATACTATGAAATCATTTATTTTGTTAAAATAATATTTTTTTTTTCAAAAATATAGTGAACAAACAAGTAACCAAATCTTTAAAGTATAAAGTAGATCATGAAACCTTATATGTCTGTGCAATAATTTTAGAATAATTTTAGAAAAAATGTTTAAATTTCAAATAATTAGGATGAACCATTTAAAATTGAAAAAAATTAGTTGCCCCATATAAGCAGTAAATATACCTTAGTTGCACAACTTCTATATGTTTATATACTTGGTATCACATATTATGAAATCATTAATTTTTTAAAATATATAAATTTGGTGTATGTTTTCTGAAAATATGATGAACAAATAAACAAACAAACTATTAAAGTGTAAGGTAGATGATATTTAGTGTTTTTAATGGTTTTTAGTATCTTTTTCTTAGTCATATTAGTGTTTTGAGTTGAATTTAGATGTCTAGATTGCAATCTATGCTAATTTGTGTGCATTAGGCACTATTAAAAAGTTTGGGGCAAAAATCAATGGTTAAATATCACATTTTGAAGTATAGGTCAAAAACCATGTTAACGAAAGATGAGGGACCACTCTGCAGTTAATAGTAGGATGTCTGGAATATGGGATTGAAAGATTTGGGGTTGGGTTGATCCGAGAGGAATTTTTTGCTATTTCGAAAGGTTTGAGATCAAAGCGTAATTCACCAAATTGTGAAGGACCATATGTGCAAATACTCCAAAGCCCACCCTTGCTGTTTGCGGTTGAGCTTTCGATACGATTCTGAGATTCGATGGCTAGTGGCTACGACTATGAGGTGTTGATGACGGATTAAGCCTGGTTATAGGTTGGTGGTTCCGGTTCAGAGGAAGCGCATATGATTGGTGCCATTGGAGCAAGGGAGCGAAGATGAAGGTTGAACGCGGCGAGCTGAGAACTACGGACGAGAAGAGACATTGATTCCAGCCAGGGTACGTCGTGATTTGTAGAAGGGAAACACGGATGACCACCACGGGTTGAGGCGAGTCGTGACGAGCTTGGACGCCGGCGACAATTTTTTTTTCCTATTAACTTTTTTTGGTATTATTTTAGTTTGGTTTTAATTTTATTTATTTATTTATTAGGGTATAAGTGTAAATTAATATATTTGTAGGAGAATAAAGATAGAGGGTTGTGTGTCATATGAGATCATCGTCCGAGTTGCTTGGGCTGATATTTGTAAGCCGAAGTCTGAAGGTGGTTTGGGAATTAGAAAACTCGAGGATTTTGAAATGGTTTTCAGATTGAAGAGAGTTTGGCTATTTTTCTCTAGGTCAGGGTCTTTGTGGGTGAGGCTGCAAAGCAACAGATTTGGTGGCAGGAGTATATGGCTAATCAATGACTCGCCGAGATTCTCAAAGACTGTAAAAAGCATGCTTGAGTTGAGGCATGAGCTTCAACTCTATCTCCGCTGCAGTATTGGAGATGGGAAAACAGCTTTGTTTTGGTATGATTACTGGACGGATCTGGGTCCACTACACCTTCTTTTCGGAAACTCAGGGCCTGCTAACCTTAGGATTCGGCTAAATGCAACAGTCTCTGAAGCTGTGTGTAATGGTAACTGGAACTTACCACCAGCTAGGTCTGAATATGCTGAGGCTTTACAAGTTATACTATCGACAATGAATGTCCCATGTGAAGATGGCAGTGATGTATACTTGTGGAGAATTAGTTCTGGTGGTTTTGGTCCTTCTTTTTCTTCTAGTGTTACTTGGAGTAGGATTCGGATTCCTAATCCCCAAGTTCCCTGGTATTTGGTTGTTTGGTTCAAAGAGGAGATTCCGCGTTACTCATTCATTACTTGGGCGGCCTTTCTCCAAAGACTTCCCACTCGGGATAGATTGATTTCTTGAGGATTACCTTTTCCACCAGGTTGTATTTTATGTTCTGCTGATGATGAATCTCTTTCCCATCTTTTCTTTGAGTGTCTGTTTGCTGCTGTTGTTTGGAATCGTTTTTGTGGCAGGTACCTGGCGTCTCCTCCTACCTCTGTTGCAGCAGTGGTCGACTTATGCCATCAACTCCATGGGCCTCATGCTGCTCGGGCTGTAGCCATTTTGAATCTCCTCAATGAAGTTATTAGTTACAACCTTTGGCGCGAAAGGAATGCTCGCATTTTCACAGGCGTATCGAAGATCCCAAAGGCTTTCTACAAGGTGGTTGATCGTGCTATGCGGGATAGGCTGCTTTCTCTGCCATCCGCGTCTACCACTTCGCCGTCTGTGCTAGAGTTGTACTTTTGCTTTGTTACCCCTTATAGTTAAAGCTTCCCTCTCAAACTTATATTCTCTTTATCTCTCTCTCCTTTGCTCTTTGTAATAAGTTGTGGTTTTCACAACATTGTAAAACTCAGAAAATGGTTATAAATTTTAAAATTTTGACCAAAAAAAACTACGTTCCGATTGTTTTTTATCGGGATTTTCGGGGTGAAGAATTTGGATACATATAGTACATTGCCGTACCAAGGCATACACGAGCCTAATACGAACATTTTAAATTTTGACTTTCTAAATATTGAAGACTGCAAAAAAAATCAAAAGCATTATTTAGGGGGATTTACCAAATATGATTCAAAACTAGATTTTAAATGCAAATGTGTGAATTTAGATCTTAAAACAATTTATAACCCTGAAAGTCTTCTAATGCTATCTATGGTTTACAGTCAGTAGTTCTTACCAACCGCCCAGCTTCATAAAACTTTAAGAGAGATATATTTCTTTAACCAAATTAGAACAAAACTAAAAACCAACTCATTTGAACTGAACAAACAAAAACAAAACCAAAAAAATGAATCAAACACAAACCAAACTTATATCGATCCAAACCAAACACAAATTAAACTAAACCAAATTGAATGTAAACATCCCAAGCTAATTTCAGTTGATTTCATTTAAAGTTTTTTAAGATTCAAAAATAAACAAAATTGAACCGAATCCAAACAAAAGCCAAATTTAAACTGAACTTCTCACCCTCACGACCAATTACAGTTTAAGTCTTTCTTATTTCTTTCGAAGCCCTTTAGGCATGGTTTTTAAAACCAGATTGTACTAGTTGGTCAAACCGGTCTGACCGTGACTCGCTGAAGAAATCGAGTCTGGTTTGGTATAAAATTTGGATCTGAGAAAAAAGGGTAAAAATGCAGTAAAACCGGTAACGGGAGTTAAAATTAAAACCCAGTTTTAAAATTTAACATATAACTAATTTGTTTTCAATTGTTATCAAAATTTTATATTTCTTAATCAATGTTTGACTATTACTATCTAATTGATTTTCTACTTAATTTTATTTTTCTTAAGAAAGAATGTATGCAAATATATTTTTGGCTTTCATATATTATAGTTGACATATATAAATCTAAGACTTTGGTTGTAAAAATAAATAAATATGGTAATTTGAATAATCAATAGTTTAGTTTTTATCAATTCAGTTTTATACAATATCACTTGCTTACAGTTAAATTTATGCATATAACATATTTTTCTAGTTAATAAATAGAAAATAGAATATATTATATATTTTTATACTAAAGTCTGTATAATGTGAATATACATATATTTATTCTTTTAGGAATATAAATCAATTTGACCGATTGAACCGGTCCAACTATGCAACTAGTAACTATACCAAATTGGTGTCCGACCCTGTCCAATTTTCGAAACATTGCCTTTAGGCGGTTTTTCTCATTAGTCCACCTTTAGCGTCAACGTTATTGTACCGCACTTCCTTTTGTGCCGTCCTATAAAAAAACAAAATATATGAATAATACTGAGAATACATATTTAATACTGAAAATTTGTATTTTGATAGAACCCAAGCACAATAAAAATATTGTAGATAAGTAGTTCAGTGTCAGTATTTTCATAGACTAAGTCCTCCTTACCCAATCTAATTCTAAAGAAATTCCCAGATAAACATATATTTGATAAGAAACCTTAGTTTTCTTTATCTTCTGTCATCTAAGGAAACCAAAACATAGACAACAACAACAAAAAAATCATTGGCATACTTCTTCTTGTTCTTCTTTATCATCACCTTGTTCATCTCTTAGAAGCAAGGAAAAAAAAAACAGAGGGAACCATGATCCATCGCTTCCAGTCTCCAAAAAGATCATTGGCTTATGTAATCATATGGATGCTCTTTATTATTCTGGATTGTGTTTTGTCAGTTGATGCGCATCACATTCACAAACACTGCACTCCTTCTTTTAGTTGTGGACATAAGATAGATCTCTATTATCCCTTTTGGACATCAGACAGAGAAGAGTGCGGTCACCCAGATTTCAAGGTCAACTGCAGCGACGGTTTCGCAGAGCTTACCATTTCCTCAGTTAAGTTGAGAATCCTCGAGATGAATTCTAAGTCTAGAATCGTCAGACTTGCCAGAATGGATTACATCAAAGATCTTTGTCCCCATAAGCCTGAGAACGCAACACTCAACGATCAAGTCCTTCCGTTTTCTGAAGACACCGAGTTCCTAACATTTTACTACCGATGTCGTCTTGACCCAAACCTGAATATTACTTTCCATGGCCACATCAGACAGCTTGACTGTGGGGATGATATTGATGGACGAAGTTTCTCTGTCTCTGTCTCCTCCCATACACATTCTCAGCATAGGCATATCACAGATGAGTTGAAGGCATCATGTAGAACTATCGTCAATGTTCCGGTATCTCGATCTGCCTTGAAGCTACAAGAGAGAAATCAGAGTGCGGATGCTATAACGAAGGCTCTTGAAAAGGGTTTTGAGCTTAGCTTTAACGAAGATTGTTCCCGATGCAGAGAATCAAATGGTGCTTGTGGATATAATGATACCTTGGGAGGATTCAGCTGCTATTGTAAAGATAGGCCTCATAAGCATACTTGTGATAAGAATGGTAATGATTTCTTTTTTCCGTATTTCCGAATATTTTGACTACAATAAGTAATGTGAATGAATTTGTTCATGCAGGTCTCTCTAAACCAGCAATAATAGGTCTGTTTCTAACTTTCCTTGCAAGTAAAGCATAACTAAGAAACCGCAATAATCTCACACTGTCTTTTGGTTTGTCTCCAGGCATTGGTTCCGCTTGTGGTTTCTTGCTTGCCACTATTTTAGCAGCGTGTTTTATCTGTTTCTACATCCGAAGAAGGAAGAAACTGGCAGCAGAATACACAAACAAAGACCTTTCAACTACTCCTTACTTAAGCGATAACGCAATATCATCCACTCCAAGTTCCACAACAACCTCCAGAAGCAACCACTCTCTCATGCCATCAATCTATAACCTAGCAAACAGAAGTGTCGATTATGGAGTTCAAGTCTTCACCTATGAAGAACTCGAGGAAGCCACTGATAATTTCTCTAGAGAGCTCGGAGATGGAGGATTCAGTACTGTCTACTACGGTAAGAACCAAACTACGTACCAAAATAAAAGCCTTCAAAACTCAGCTTTTTCTAAAAAAACCTTTTAATGCAAAAACTCTGAAGGCTTGCTAAAGGACGGACGAGCCGTAGCTGTAAAACGCCTCTTCGAGAAGTCCCTGAAACGAGTGGAGCAGTTCAGGAACGAGATCGATATCTTGAAATCGTTAAAACACCCGAACCTAGTGATTCTATACGGATGCACAACGAGACATAGCAGAGAGCTACTCCTAGTGTATGAATACATCTCTAATGGCACACTTGCTGATAATCTCCATGGAGACCAAGCGCGGTCTCGTCCTATTAGCTGGCCTGATCGACTCAGCATCGCCATTCAAACCGCGAGTGCATTGTCCTTCCTCCATGCCTCAGGTAAACACACATTGAGATTCTTGCACTATATACCGGAAATCGGGATGTTACAGCTCTATGATTACAGGAATCATACACAGAGATGTCAAGACTACCAACATTCTTCTAGATAGCAACTACCAAGTCAAAGTGGCTGACTTCGGTCTCTCGCGGTTGTTTCCGCTGGACCGAACTCATATCTCAACCGGGCCGCAAGGAACTCCAGGGTACGTTGATCCTGAGTACTATCAGTGTTATCGTCTTAACGAGAAGAGTGATGTGTACAGCTTTGGAGTTGTACTCTCGGAGCTCATCTCATCCAAAGCAGCAGTCGATATCACCAGACACCGCGAGGATATCAACCTCGCGAACATGCTTATCTCCAAAATTGGAAATAACTCCGTTCATGAGCTGGCGGATATGTCTCTAGGATTCGCGAGGGATCCTTCCGTGAATAAGATGATGACTTCTGTTGCTGAACTGGCGTTCCGCTGTTTGAAACTGGAGAGGGAGGCAAGGCCCTCCATGGATGAAGTCGTCAAGGTTTTGAGAGAGATTCAAAAGGGAGGTGAAAGAGATGCTCCGGAGGTGGATGTGAGGAGCGGAGATGACGCTGCGCTGTTAAAGCACGGTGTTCCTCTTCTGTTATCGCCGGTGCCTGAGAAAGAGACGAGTAGTTCTAATACAACGAGGACGAGTAGTTCCAATACGACGAAGAGTTCGTTCTGAGAGTCTGTACACGGAGAGACTCTGGACCTTAACGAGGGTTCGGTTGGTCAAATTAACCTTTTTGACTCTTGTGTTGTTACTTGTTCTTTCTCTTTGTGGTCTTTGCATAAAAGGGCCATTACTATTCGTTAATTGTTTTACTTCAATATGTTACATATTTTAGATTTTGCAAACATATTAATAAAACATATAATAAATACATAATTTCTGTAATTATCTTTTTCTATAAATCTAAACCAAAAAAATCCAAAAATACAATTAATTTTTTTTGAAATTTGTAATTAATCATTATTAGTTGCTAAAATATGTATTAAAAATACAAAAATGCATATTTTAAAATTTTCTAAAATATGTAACACAATGAAACAGAGGTAGTACTAATTAACATTTTGTTGAGAGATAATCACTTGTTTAATTAATTGATCTTCTTAAATATTAAACCATACTTTTACCTATAGATTATCTGAATGGATAATATTGAAACCAACTAGAATTTTGGTATTAATAAAGTTGGAGCTCGAAGAAAGATTATAAAAAGAAATCAGATCGTAGAAAGAATTAACTGAAAAACAACAACAAAACCTAAAATATGTTTTTTAACCAAAAGATCACACAAAAAGAAAAAGGGCCAAAAATGTTTATTAAAAATACATAAAAATCTTATACCCCTATTTTATAGATATATAAATATAAATAATTATTTAAATAAATATCTTTTTCTTTATATAGTTTTCAAACTATACGTTTTTTATAGTTCGAACATTCTTCTAAAAAAAATTAATTTTCTTTTTCGCAATTTGTTTATATTTAAAATCTTAAACTCCACCCTCAACACCTGCTCTACAAATCTAATCCGAAATCTAAATTAATTAATACTAAATAGTTACATTTATTTATTTATTTATTTATTTAATAAAATAGTTTGGTCATTTTAACCATTGTGTACGATATTTATGATCAAAAATTTAAAGTCATCATAGGAAATTTCTCATAATTAATTATCTATCAAAATTTTCCTCGTACTTTTGGGCTCGGTCTAATGTTTAAATGAAAACAATCGGAGATTTTAGGTGGATTAATCGAAGTTATATTTAATTATCTAATGTTATATATAATATATTTCTAATATTATCTAATGAAGTTCACTTGGTGTAGCTGTTTTGGATCATTTTGTTTATCTAGCAACCCGACTTCGAGCAAGAGAGATGACATTTTTGCAGTTTGTTTGCATTTGATTTAATGAGGAGTAAATTTTCCATTTACTTATCATTTTCCTCCTTAGCTTTTTTTGGGTTTTCTGCAACTAAAACTCGTTCACTCTTCCAACTTTTTTTTTTTTTTGGTGTAAATGTTAAGATTCATACCAAGCTTTTTCAGTTTTTACAAGATTTGTGGAAGACCACTTATTACAAGAAGGGAAAAGATAAAAGAGCAACAGATTACATAACTTAAGACAACAAAGAGAGATAGATCAGAAGCAGAGAGGGTGGAGGAGATTGATGGCGGCTGATGGCGAGAAGACGGTCTCTGATCAGGCGGTCTATCCGGGAGAAGACACCAGCTTCAGGTGATTGGGATTGCTGGAAAATACGCAGATTACGTTCGCGCCAAGTGCAGTACACAATAACCTGCAGCAACAATTGCAGAACAGCCTGCAAACCTGCAACTCCTGTAACCTGCGGAAAGGTAATGAAATCAGCAAAAGCCTGGATAGAGACTGGAGCTACGATGCCTGCTCTCCCAGAAAATTTCGCCCATAATGCAGCAACAAAAGGGCACGTGAAAAAGAGATGAGAATGAGACTCTATTCCGTTGGGACAAAGAACACACTGTGATTGAACATTAATGCCCCAAGAAGCAAGCCGATCCTTGGTAGGCAGCCTAGCAAGAACCGCCATCCAAGTAACAAAAGAACACTACGGTATCTCCTCTTTAAACCAGACCAAGCTACTCCACTGCACTTGCGGAGAAGGTTCCCTCAGTCTTTGCCATGTTGCTCTGACTGAAAATTTTTGAACAAACTGATCTTCACCATTCCTCCATAAGAATATATCCTCTCCATTCAACCTCGACGGCGGGGTCATGGTTGAGAGAACAATCTGCAAGGTTTCTGCTACATCTGAACGAGCCGGAGGGAGTACCCAGTGACCATTTGCAGCCGCATCACAAACTTTTGCCTCTCTTCGAAGGCGAAGTTCCCTAGTACCTGTTTCTCCAAACGCTGAGATCAAGGGTCCTATATCAGTCCAATAATCATGCCAGAACATAGCCGACCTCCCATCACCTATGCTGCAGCGGAGGAATATTGCAATAATGTCTTTGATTTTCAGCATGCTCCGCACAGTCGGGGAGAAACGCTGAGAGTCTTCAGCGTTTTCTTGTTGTTTTCGTGTAACTTTAATGAATATTATATAAAAAAACTTTGATGAGTCTTAAATCAATTTTCTTTGTTTTCTTGTTGTTTTCGTGTAACTTTAATGAATATTATATAAAAAAACGTTCACTAACGCTTCAAGTGTCGATTCTAGCAGCTATACTGTCTCATCTGAATATAATTTATGTGCCTAGCATATACACTAATATTAGTTATTCTTTTGGAGGAAGAATAATATTGAAGATTCCGAGACAGACAAAAACTCTTATCCATAAATTATTTGGTATTTCTAGAAAATAGTATATAATAAACTATTTAGAAAGATATATATAGATCTACTTGAACTGATCAGATATGGAGACGGAAAATGCCAAACATGGTTCACCACAAATGAAACAACTCTTTGTTTGAGACAAACATCAGTGGCAACATGTAAAATCTTACCCTTCGAGAATTTATGTTTGGTGGATGGGTATTAGACCTTTTTTTTTTTTTTTTTTTTTTGGTCACGAGGGTATTAGACCTCTATCTCAAGTTTTAGTGGATGTGGAAATATAGTACTAGACGGGACACATCTTATGGATACGAAAAAATCAGCTCTATCTCAATTTTTAGTGGATGTGGAAATATAGTACTAGACGGGACACATCTTATGGATATGAAAAATCAAAACGAAGAAAATCTTTATTGTATTCGGAGCTCGATAATAATTTACTAATAATATGTAGAAACGGATGGCATACCATTTAAGTAGTGTAAAACATTAAATGTTGACTACTTTATGAAATTATTGAAATCTATAGTTAATCCACACAAACCGTATAGGATATTTAAAGTGACAGTGATTCGTATTTGAATATTTGATTAACTAATAACTTAAGATGAAATGTACGTTTTGTAGGTAAAATTGTTTCTTGTTCTATAAACAGTGATTTGTATTTGAACATTTTTGATATTGTTCGTTAAACATAAAATCGAATTGAGAAAATTCCAAATTATATAAAACTAAATGTATGTCTATAATTGATGAACTAATTAACTTAAGATGAAATTCGCACCCACGCTGATTTTATTTTTCGGTTGTATTTGATCTATATAATTTAGTTTTATATAATTTTGAATTTACTCAATTCGATTTTATGTTTAACGAATAATATAAAAATGTATTTTGTATTAATAACGTCAATAATGTATTATGTAGATGTAACCTTGCAGTGAAAACACTAATTTATACGTTTGTTCGATGTGCAAAATCAAATTCAACTTTAATTGTTTGCGTTAAAAAAATAAGTTGATAGTTTAGTCTGATATTAATAATTATCTAAAATTTAAAAATAATATACAAATTTCTAGTTTTGGCCTTAACTTTTAGTTTACAGGTTAGATCAAATTCAAACTTAATCGTGGTCTTAATTTTGCAAGCACGATATGTTTTATGATGAAAAATTTCATAAATAACGTAAAAAATATTTTGGTAATTTGAAATAATTTATGTATTTGAAATATTTTTCATTTAAATCGGTATTTTAAATTCAACTCGAACCACGGTTAACAAGTGATCCGATAATTCAATTTTGATTTTTAAAAATATCCATTTAAAAAATAACTAAAACCCGAGACTAACCGATTGAATTGGTTGATAACTGATATGTAATATTTAAACCTCTAAAAATAAGTTTATTTTCCTTGTTTTATATATTATTTCAATTTTTAATTTATTATTAGAATGGGTGAAATCTAATATTTTGTATTGTTTGGGCATAAGATTAATTATAGTGTTGTTTGGAAACATGAACAGTAGTATAAAGAAATGAATATATTATTTAGAGACATGAATAGTAGTATAAAGAGATAACTATATTGTTTGGAAACATAGATATTAGTATAAAGAAATAAATATTATTAGAAATCTTATATATTAAAACAGAAGTCATGACTTGATTTTATGTGTGATATTTTAAATTTTGGACCTATTCCTAGAAAGCGGAGTTACATTACATTTTCCAATAAGAGACATTATTAAATAAGAGACATTACTAATATAATCTGCTTTATTCCCTTAACGATCGGAACTAACTTATCTCACGGTTATGTTTTAAGAAAGCTATTATATTCATTTTGGTTTAACGCCAAATTGTATGATTAACATAATATTAATCTTTCTTTTTCTTGGATGACAAGTATATTACTTTTATCATACCCATATCAATGATAAAATAAAATCATTCTACGAAAACATATGAAAAAAATTAAGATTACTTTTGTTTTTCAGTATGAATATTCGATAATATAAATCTATGAAGCTACAAGTTTAATTTTTTTAAGAAAATTCTAAATTTGTGAAATGTTACAATATCTTTGAAGATGAAAATAAAACAATATTTTACCAATTTGTATATATGTAGTTGTTATGATTTCAGTGATGAAATAATAATCCAAAAAAAAAAAAAAAAAAAAAATATATATATATATATATATATATATATATATATATATATATAGAAGAAGATACAAATACATGTGAAAGTTTCAAACAATTTTTTTCAATAAAAATATACAATAAAATTATTATGTCTTAAAAATTGATAGACACACTTCATATATATTACAATATATACCAATTTAGAACTGAAAATAAAATATTTATAAAAGATAAATGAAAACAAAAATCCGCACGGTTGCGTAGATCGAAATCTAATGTATATTTAATTTAAAAATTTACAAAGTAAATATTAGGTCTAACCTAATGTTTCTGATTTAATAAGATAGACTAACTTTATCTAAACCGTTTTGTCAAGTTATGCTGTCTGTTTTCCTATGGGGAAAAAAATTAAAAACCTAATAGCCATCAAAAAGTAACCAAGAAGAAGAAGCGATGCAGAAATTACATATATATCCATAAATCAGACATTTGACAATCCGATAGAAAATGTCTCAGACAGAAATTCAAAGAGGATAAAAACAGGCAATTGGCAATGAAATGAGTATAGATTATTATATGAGTGTTTTAGAAAGGAAATTAAGCATCGGTGAAGCTTGGTGGTTTGTAGGCGATGAAACTGATGCATTGGACCTGACGGTTGTTGTCGAATCCAATAATCCTAATGAAGGCATTAGGGTACTCCTTCTTGCACTCTTGCACTTCCTTCAACACTTGAGCAGAGTCAGTGCATCCAAACAAGGGAAGCTTCCACATTGTCCAGTAACGCCCATCATAGTATCCGGGTGTGCTTCCATGTTCACGGTACACAAATCCGTGCTATAAACACATACCATTAAAAATCAGGATGACATGGTATAAAATGGATCTTTAAATACAAGAAAAACAAAACTTTGTTTTTATTACCTCCAACTCGAATTCAACACAAGGAATCCACTTGTTGCGGAGAAGGTAGTCAACTTCCTTAGCCAATTCGACGTCAGTAAGGTCGGGAAGATAAGATAGAGTCTCAAACTTCTTCTTTCCCACTGGTGGCCACACCTATAAATCCAGTTTCCAATTAATAAATAGGAATTCTGTTTTTATATATATATTCAGACATTTTTCAATCCAAGGTACGTTATTATATATATATATCGGTCAATTGGATTCATCTTCACATGTACTAGTTCCACATAAATAAAAGGGCTTGCCTACGACTCTAGTGATATTTACCTTCATGCAGCTAACTCTTCCTCCGTTGCTTGCAATGGAAGTAATATCAGTGTTGGTTTTGCGGGTGACTGGGAATGCAGCGGATGACTTCAAGCCGGTGAATGGAGCAACCATGGTGGCTTGAGCCGGTGAGGTAACCACAGCGGCGGAGGAGAGCATAGAGGAAGCCATTACTACTTCTTTTTCTCTTTTCTCTTACTTGCTTGTTTCTCTATTGCTTTGGTCATCTATATATAGTGAGGCCGGCATGAGGCATAAAGCCCTAATGATCAAAGAGTGCGGGATTCATGTCTGATGATAACGTCGTTACCTGCCACAGGATTAAGGAAAGGTGTTGACACCCTTATCGATAAGGACCACTATGATAAGGCCACGTGGCAGAAAATTTCCTTATCTTATCTTTTCTTGGAAGGAAATGAGTGAATGTGTATGGTTAATGGTGTCCACTTGAGCCGATGCTCTTGGCTCCTTCCTTTTGGCAGAAAAGAAATGATACGCATGGCTTACATTTAAATCTTCGTGGACCTTATATGTACTATGTATGAATTAATTTCGCTTATTTTGATTTGGTTAATAAGATCTCATTTAAAATTAAAACATTACTACAAGAAAAATAAATTACTTGAATCAGACATGTACAATGTCGTCACTATTATAACTTAGAGTGATGAGAGTACTGTTGATGATCATGTTCTTAATGATATGGTTAATATCTTCTTAATGATATTTACATTTCTTAGCAAAACAAAATACTGTATGAAGAAGATAAACAATTCTATTTTGTTTTTCTTGGTCAGAAAGTGTAAAGTTTTGTTATATGGTTTTTCTTAAGAGTTGTATAAAACAATAAATTTTACATAAACACAGTCATACATGTAGATCACAAAGGTCAAAGCTGAACACTGAAACAAATAATTAAACGCATCTACTCTTTAAATAGATGCAAAACAGAAAATGGATAAGGACACGAAAAATAGCAAAAGCGATCAACGTTTTCGTAAACAAAGATGTTTTAAAATAGAGAAAACTGATGCTTATCCGTGTAACGCCACTGTATATATAATACACCTCTTCCCACTTGGTTTTCTACAGATTACTTCCAAATTTAAAAGAACTATAGAAGAAGGCCATTTCAAATATATAACCAACACAATGAATCATCTCTCGTGTATTCTTCTCACTATTGGATTGTGCATAGGTTTGAGTAACGCAAAGTGGAATGAAAAAAACTCCGTGCACTTTAAGAACTCTCTTGGTCGAAACAATATCTTGAAGATTAATTGTATATCAAATGACGATGATCTAGGCTTCCACTTTCTGCGGCCTGGAGAAACCTACGAATTCAGTTTTCATGATAGTGTTATTAAAACTGAATTCTTTTGTGACCTATGGCAAGGGCCAAATTTCAAGTTCCATGCAGGGTTCACAGGATATGAAGGTGGTGGTCTTATAGTTCATTATGGTAAACAGAACTTTTGGGATGCTAGAGAAGATGGAATTTACTTCACACATGGCCAAAAAATGCCCAAGTTAGAGTATACGTGGAAATAATAATTTGCTCGTTTTCTAAGTAACAAGAAGATAATGTGTATTGTGGATGGAAACCTTTGTACTTGCTCTGTTTGCTCCGTTTTGATTGATTTATCGTTATAGAATAAAATTTATGTTTCAAAATAAGTGGTTTTTAATGATTTCAATTCATAATTTATTAATTTTATATGGTATTCTATTTTTTATTGGTTAAAATTGGTTAAATTTATAAGTAATGATGTTTCATTTTAAAAATATATAAAATTAATTATTATTTCATGTGTGCATAAATTTAAAACGATAACTACAATGGAAACGGATGGAGTAACAAATAATAAAATGCACATTTATATAATATAAATGTAACTTAGTATATAAGTGAAAAGTGTATAAATAGTGTTGACTTTCTTAACATTGACTTCCGTGACTAATTTATAGCCTAAGCATAAACTAATTTAATATCATGACCGCATGGTTTCTCTATTGGGTATTTCAAATAATTTTACTAATAATAAAGTTTTATTACATAGTTAAATTTTATTTAAAAATAAATAAATCCACTCATGACACATAATATGTAAATATTTCAGGATTTCTGTAGATATTATAACAGAAAAAAACTGTCTTTCACTTTCAAAATTTTCTGTTATATATACTAGGTATAGAATCCGCGCAACATTGCATAAAAATTCATTTTATAAAAACAAAACTACCACACTTTATAACTTATATTTTATATAATATTCTTAATTTACTTTTGAAAAAGTTACCTTGTCATAATGTAGATTAAACCATTCCAAATTCAAATTAAAAAGAGAGCATTTCATTATAGGACACATTATTCTCTTTTTGACAGTTTAAGACACATGTTGGTGGATGGACACTTTTTCTCATGACTCATCACACTTTTGACTATACTGTCCCTCGTTAGCTGAAACAAAATTGACCATCATTAAAATTTTATTAATTTTTAATTCTAACTGGTTTGTGGGGACCAAACATAATATACTTAGCTTCGCTACTTTTTTTGAAACTGAAACGAGCTACAACTAAAAGAAAGAGAAATATAAAATTTTGTGGACAAGTTTTTGAAAGAAAATACTCATTTTTTTCTAAAATTTTAAAATAATGTTTCATGTAATTTTTTTATGGACGAGAATAAAAATGTGGATATGATAAATCATTTATGTCTATATTCATGTTTTACATCTTCTTAGATGAATTTCATGTCCACAACTCCTTTCATATCTCATACCTCATCTATCCACAAATCTCTTGTCCACAACTCCTTTCATACTTTATCCATCCACAAATCTCTCGTCCACAACTCCTCTTCAGCCCAGAAAAAAACTTCCATCATTCCAATTTCTAAACAAAACCCATAAAAGATAAAAAATTGTCCAGACCCAAATTCTCCGACAAATCTTCAAACTTTAATCCAGTAAAGATCAAACTTACTTTGGGTTTCGAGTTCAGCGAACAGCTATGGATTGGAACTTGTTTTTTTTCCAAGCTGGAAGAAGAAGAAAGATAAACAGCAGGACGAAGGTTTAATTGGGGAAATGAAATTAATAATCAAGAACCTCTTCGATCCCATGACAAGTGGAGAATTTACAGATCCAAAGTGCCAGATCTTCCCCTCCCTCTCTGATTCCACCCTTTTTCTATGTTCATGATATTTACAAAAATGGAGAAAAATGAATTTACAGTCCAAAGTCCCAAATCTTCCCCTCCCTCTCTGATTCCACCATTTTTCTTTGTCATGATAATTTAAGAAATTCAAAATATAAACCTCCGATGTCAATCTGAAGTGAAGAAGGTTGACTATTAAGGTTCCCTTTCTTCTTCGATTTCGCCATGGTTTCTCGAAGCTGGACGAGCTAGGTTTGGGGATAGAGGAGGAACGACGATCATTGAGAGATAAGGGATGAATTGTATTAATTATAATTTTTTATTTAGTTACGAAAGAAGGAATATTGGGAAGAAACAAAACAAGGGGTATAAGAGACAATCAACACACAAAAGTGTGTTTCTAGTGACCTGTGTCTGATTATGTAAATTGAAAGTGGGAAAGTGTCCCAGAGAGTAAAAAATCAATTAAAAATTTGTGTAGCTGTTCGTTCAGAGCCTGAAAATGTAAAAGATTTCGCTTCAATGATATTCTGAGGGGTGGATTGTGATATTAACATCACGACTCGTAGTGACTAAATTTCAAATTTCTGGCGTTGTCATGAATCTTGTTTTGACGCATTTGACTTTTGCTCTGAATTCACTGTCACCTTATCGTAGAGTTTTCTCTACTGCTATCGTGCATTTATGCTTTGTTGTATTACGTTTGCAGAGTTTTGTATAACTCTTTCTCTAAGTGTAATCTGAATGTTTAATGTTTAATGAAAGTAATATTAAGAAAAATACTTGAGAACTAATGGTTTTGCATCTAAGCCTAGAGACTTGAGAGATGGTGTTGTGAATGTGAACCAGAAATATGCTATGTGATCTTTTTATATTCCCCTCTCAAATGGAGCAAGAGTTTTGTTCACGTAAATGCATTTGAAATGTGATTTTAACATCAAAGGAAGGTATACTGAAGCCATACCGCGTCAGGCATTCAAAGTATGGCTTGTCATTCAAAACAGAATATCAACAGGGGATCGTATGACGGTATGAGGAGTTGAGGAATGTCTCAAGCATGTCTTCTCTGTGGGGAAACTGGATGAAACGAGAGATCATTTATTTTTTCCCTACCCATCTGCTTTTACAATATGGGTCGACTCTTGCTGGAAAGTTGTTAGGCTCAACCCAGACTGGACTTGGACTATGAATAATCTGATGCGTAACAAACTGGTGAAGCATGATACATACCTTCTGAAAATGGCTTTCCAAGCCATTGTTTACTGGATATGGAGGGAGAGGAATGGTAGGAAACACCATTGTCCGGCAAACTCGGTTCAAGCTTTAACCCACACGATCCGCTCTGAGATTCACAATCGGTTACTTGCTCTATGTCAAGGGCGAAATGAGAGTAACAGGGAGAAAGCTACTCGCAGATGGCTGGTGATGATAAGGTGACAAGGAGGACCTCGCCACTGCTCTGTTTTTTCTTTAATGTTATTGTTCTTTCTCAGCTCCAATAGAGAAAATCTTGTTGGTTGTTTCTAGTTCTTTTGGTATATAATGCTTACAACTAAATATACATAAACATTTCCTTTTGTTGATAAATGAATTTAACAGTTCAACAAAAAAAAAGAATATCAGACATGGTTAAGCTTCTCAATAGAGCTGAAAAAGATATCAGCAATACAATGAATATTCTAATCTTTCAAGCTCTCTTAGACCATGTTTATTGGCATCCCTTAAGAGGGTTTGTTAGTTTAATTGGGCTTTAAAAATAAAGATTAAATCAATATTAAGCAAGGGGCGTGACTTAATTAAGCCAACGAAGGGTGTTCCTTACCTGCCATGCGTTGAGATTTTACAGGAGAGAGGAGCGGTGTAGGGAGTGTTTCGACAAAAGCTCTCCTATTTCTCCTATCTCTTCCGGTTCTTCTTCTCTTTATGTTCTCTGGCGATTCTCGGTAGTCGACGACGTCTGTACTCGACGGTGGCTGTACTCAAAGCGGCGTCGGACGACCTCTCTCTCTATCTTCGGTTCTCTGAGACGAAGAACAACGGTGACTACTTCGGTTGAGGCGAATCGAAAGGTAAATATTCATATTTCAATCTTTGAAGTTTGCATGTCTTAGATTCTTTAGCATTTCATTTTTCCCTTCGGCCAAAAATGCAATCGATGATTGTTTAGTTAGGACTACACGATTTTTTTTTTGTAGAAATCTTTGTTTTGTTTGTTGTTTTATTTCACTCTGATTGGATAATTGAATATAATTTTGATGTAAAATACATGAGAAGACGAAATTAGAAGTACAATTTCTTAGTCCTATAAGAGAGAATAGTTTTTCTTTTACTTTAAGAAGGCGTCCAAAGACTTCGTAAAAAGCAAAAAAAAAGATCGTCCAACGAATGAAAATATGGCCACTAAACAATGACAAATGTCATTATGATTGCAATGCCAAACTTTAACACATCAAGTATTGGGCATTACCTGTCATATAGCTGAGAAAGGCAGGAGCAAAATATGCACTTATCGACAACATTCGACAAAGCAAGAAAATATGACGGTAAGACCAGGCCCGGCTCAACTAATTGTTGGGCCCTGTGCTGATTTTTAAAATTTTGGCTCATAAAGTCAGTAATTAAGATTTTAATTATGTGCTATACATATGCTTTTGACAAATTAGGGCCCTTATTTCTTTAAGAAAATTGGAAAAATAAGATGGACCCAATATGCATTCTCAGCACTGGGTCAAAACTGGCACTGGATAAGACCAACATGTCACTACTACAAGAAAACATAGAAATTGTTGACGAAGTTCTCGATGTAGAATTCCCACCGAATTCCCAACCGAATTCTCGACGAAATAAATTTTACTAGAAATCCACAAGAAACTTTCAGTAGATATAGTTTCATTGGATATCTATACAAAAATTCTGGTGAAGTTCTGATGAAGTTAAACAAATATTTAATTTAATTATTTTTTCAAAAATCTGTCAGAAATTTTGACAAATTTCTAATGTAATTAAATAAACATAACTTTCTTAATTCTGTAAAAAAATACATCTAGAATTTACGACCAATTTCAGTATATATATATATATATATATATATATATATAAGATGTTAATAAATCTGTCAGAAAATTAAATAGATAGTTAATTTTAATAAATTTGTCAGAAATTTGTCGAAATATTTACATATTTCCAGATTATTCGTTAGAAAAAATCAACAGGTACTATAACATCTAAAATCTTACATGGTATAAAGTATACTGAATAATCGAGTATTACAGAATACGGTAATTCTCGAAAAAAAAACTGTTCAATGGTATTCCTTTACATTTTTATCAACAAAGACCAAAATAAAATTGGGTTATAAATTTAGTTATAAAAACTTGTCTCGGTTCAGTCTATTGGATTCAAGACTTGCATATCTAATTTGCATGGCTGTGAGAATAATTTCCCAATTTATTGTATTTATGAAATAAGAGAAAACACACACTTTGTTTTTTATACTGAGAAATAAGATAGAAACCTACATCAATAAAATTATTGATTGGTTAATTAGTTCGCTCTGTTGATTAACATTTAGAAAAAGTCATCAGATATTATTTTCATTTTTATTTTATCAATGACTTTTGAACAAATAGAGAAAATGTCACTAGTGGCCTAAATTTGTTTTTTGACAAAATGGCACCTAATTGTCCACCACAATCAATAATTAAGCATGGACGTTGGGGTGTCTAATAGAATTCAATTCAGATTTAATTGGTTTTTGACTTTTCGAAGTATACAATTTAGTCTCATTCAGATATTCTTAAGTTTGGTTCACATTCAGTTTGACTACATGATCTCAACTACCATCCACCTTCACCCCCAATGATTCAAGCAAAACTTCAAATCAAAATTACTGGCGTTCATCACCACATACAGTTTTAGAGTCGAGGACAACACCACCCACAACCATGAAAGGACACCGGTCCGTGGTATATAAGTTAAAACACATTGGCTTAATTTTAGAGAGAAGAGAGAGGAACTAACTGTAGGGAGTTTATAAATTGTTTAGAAAGATACATTTTTTTGGGAAATAGAGAAGATACATTTTCAAATCACTAATTTAATGTTGGATTTTAAAATATTTAGAGGAATCTTATAACCAATAGCACTAGTTTTTATATTATTATTTTTATCACTAGCATATGTTCTCCATCTACCAAAATTAGAATGCTTAATTGAATAAACTCCACCCAGAGTCGGTATGAATAAATGGCAGAACATATGCTTATTCAGTCAAATCTCAATGCCGGTGAGGCAAAGAGCAGATGCTAATTTTGGTACTGCTTCGTTCGTATTATTTGTATATAGCCTGATGCTTGATAGATGCTCATATAGGCATCATTAAATACATCAAATTATGAAGAGCATCTAGAAGCTAGTGGAGACGGTTGTCGAATCTTTAAAGAACATTAATAATGCCGCAATATCTCATCAAGATAGTTTACCAAAAAAAAAAATCCCATCAACATAATGATGACGACAAATTTTAAAATTATAAACGGACTACTCGTTTGATTTTCCTGTCGTTTGAGTTCATTGGCAGATTTCTTGATTCTTTGGGTTTTGAGTTTCTAGTGGAGATGAAAAGTCTATGATTTAAACTGATGAATAGTAGGCGTATTAATTCAGTTCGTGGGAGAGCTCATCAAAAATACGATACTGCGATGCAACTATGGTTCGCGTGCGCGCGTTGACTGATGAGGTAGCACGCTTGGTAAGGATCTTGTGGATCAATTGTCATGCTTACCGATTCGACGCCAGGTGGAGGGGAACTGCAGATTCTTGTCATCAAATGCGGTACTGCGTGTTGGGCCTTATCCCCAGCCCAGATAAAGCCCTTCTGGATAAAGTAGACCGCTACCTGGCCGGACCCAGAGGAATGATCCATGTAAGTGGGGAACCTCTAGATTATCAAAAAAAAGTATGGTTCATGTAGAGATGATTCTTCTCTAGCAAAGTAGGTAGACACTTTATAAACTGTCTTTTATACGAAAATAAAATTATTTGAAAGGTAGTTTAGCTCGTTGTAATAAAAATAGATAATTTTATGTTTTCAACCTTTCTTTCGGTGTGGTCTGAAAATAAAAACATACTATTTTCTTTTTATCTGAAAAATGAAAACATACTATTTTCTTTTTATCTGAAAAATGAAAACATACTATTTTCTTTTCATAAAATGAAGATGAGTCCTACGTTTACTTTGATTTATGGCTCTATTGTAGTCTGGTTGATTTGTGGCTCTGTTGTAGTCTGGCTTGGGTTAGTGTTGGTTTGTCCTTGTGTTGGAGTCTTAGTAGAGCTGTAGGAACCTTTTCGACAGGTTATTATATGGAAAGACTTTGTAATTCGGGATGGGTGTATATTTTGAGCTCGTTTGGTTCAATAGTCGACGATGCTCTGTTCCTGGGTACTTCCGCTTCTTCTTATCTCCTCGAGTAGTTAGTGTTTCATGTTTGTCAAGGTCTTGTGATTGGGGTTCAACTTTTGGATGGTATACAGCTGTGGAGCTATCTACTTGGTTTGTCTCTGTGACTGGTTTGCGGAGTGAAGTATTAAGACGAAGCAGTTGTTTCGATTTTCAGTTCATCTCTTGCGAGGACGTGACCATCCGTTTGCTTGTAGAAGGAGTATGGGTACACGAGGGTCCGCATGTATAAGCTGCTGATCCTTTTAGTTGTTGTCCCCTCTTTGAGTTTCAAAGTTCGACCTTGTACCTTTGTCTCTCTTGATCACTGGCGGCTTGTTGCAAATGTGGTGGTAGTGTTTATTAGCTCCGTGTCTGCTTCAGTTTGACGTTGTGTGTTCCTGCAGGGTTTGGTTCCTGTGAAATTGTGGTTTCGACCTATATCGGTTTGTGGTTTCCTCAAGTCTTTGTTTTTATGGTTTCAGCCCGTGCCTATTCAGGTTATTTGGAAATACTTGTTGGATTGTCGTCTGTGTGGAACTTGAAATTTTTTGGTTGATTGAAGAGAATCAGGTGTTCTGTCTTTAGTGATGGTTTCTCATTGTTGTAGTTATGTCCTTCTGGTGTAGCTTACTAGTCTGTGTAGTTTTTTGAGGGTAGACTTAAATCTCACAAGGCTGGCCAGTAAGGGTGGGAAAAATTTGTTCTTTTATCAAAGTCTGAAACAAATCGTATAAAAATCTGTAACAAATCGTACTTTCATTTTTCGTTTAATGAAATTCATAGATGACAAAAAAAAAGAAGCTAATTAAAGAGAAAAACAAAACCATTAACAGAATTTGAAATAAAGCTTGAAAGAATCAAAATTTATTATGAAGGACAATCAAATTCTTGCATCCTCGTCCACCATTTGATTATGAAGGAATGCCGACTTCTAAATATAGATTTTTGGTTCATACACAATAGGAAACTGAAAGTTTTAAATTTAATACTTTTTGTAAAGTAAATATGATAAAATTTTCAGTTGTTTACGTGTATAATATAAAGCATGGCATTCAAGACAAAACAATTATCAATTATCAAATATGATAACAATTTTAGATTGTCCTAAAGTTTTCATATTATAGGATTAATTATCAATGGGAGTGGATCAAAACAAAACAATATTAGAAAAAGAAAATAAGTTAAGAAAAAAAAGATAACTTTATATTTGAGTAGAAAAAAAAGAAATAGTATTTGTTGCACAAAAAAAAATAGTATTCAAATAGTATGTCGTTGGGCGATGGGAAGTGAAGTCTTCTAATTATTTATATGCTGCACCGATCTATTCTCACATTCAGTCTTCGTAGCTCAAACCCACTTGAGGCTAATAAAAATTGCAAAGAAATGGCCTCTCAGCTGCTTTTGCCAACAAACCTATTCACTAAGTCATCCTTCGATAAAGTTTTCATTACAGGTAACGTCAGTGTAACATGAACCCGTTTGTGCAAAAAAAGAGATTTATTTTTGTTTTTATTGATTACTGTTGAAGCTTCAATCTATGATGTTGATGTCTTTAGATCGATTTTGACTTGATTAGGTGATAACATGACTCTGAAAAGAAAGTCCAACCACGCAAGAAGAATTTCATATGGACTTAGCTTAAGAGCAAACGCAGCTTTGATATCTAGTCATAGCTCATCTGTTGAAGTTCCACGTCAATGGTACAATCTTGTTGCTGATCTCTCTGTTAAGCCTCCTCCACAGTTGCACCCCAAAACTTTCGAACCAATCAAACCCAAAGATTTAACTCATCTTTTCCCTAATGAGATAATTAAGCAAGAAGAAACACTGGAGAGATTTATCGATATCCCCGAAGAAGTTCTTGAAATCTATAAGCTTTGGCGTCCAACTCCTCTCATCAGGTTCTTGTTCTTTTTATTTTCTTCGTCTTCTTATGTTTATGATATGCACTAGCTTGTAATGGATGAATAAATTAGAATAGTAAAAGGACTCGAAGAAATACAGAGTCTAAAGTTATTAATACTAATAGTTTTTTGCTTTGATAATAGAGCAAAGAGATTGGAGAAGCTTCTTCAGACACCTGCAAGGATTTACTTCAAGTATGAAGGTGGTAGCCCAGCTGGTTCACACAAACCAAACTCAGCAGTTCCACAAGCTTATTACAATGCGAAAGAAGGTGTCAAGAACGTTGTGACGGAAACTGGCGCTGGCCAATGGGGGAGCTCTTTAGCCTTTGCTTCTAGTCTATTTGGACTTGATTGTGAAGTACGAAAGATGTTTGATTCTTGCAATGATATCTTGAAAATTTAATCAAGTGCTTGTTTCTTTAGCCTTTTTGCAGTGATGTCTTCAATCAGTTTTATAAATTGCTTGTTTCTTTTATACTGTAGGTGTTTCAAGTGGCCCATACATACCAACAAAAGCCATACCGTAGGCTGATGATGCAAACTTGGGGGGCCAAGGTTCATCGATCACCTTCGGAACTCACTGAGGCAGGTAGAAGAATCCTTCAGGCAGATCCATTAAGCACAGGAAGTTTAGGCATTGCAATTTCAGAAGCTGTTGAAGTCGCATCAAGAAACGAGGATACTAAATACTGTTTAGGGAGTGTATTTAACCATGTGTTGTTACACCAGACGGTTATTGGAGAAGAATGCATAAAACAGATGGAAGAATACGGCGAAACGCCTGATGTGATCATAGGATGTACTGGTGGAGGATCAAATTTTGCTGGTTTGAGTTTTCCTTATATCCGGGAGAAACTTAAAGGCAAAATCAACCCTATTATAAGAGCGGTTGAACCCACCGCTTGTCCTTCCTTAACCAAAGGAGTTTACGCTTATGATTTTGGTGGTACAGCTGGATTGACTCATTTGATAAAGATGCATACTTTAGGGCATGACTTCATTCCTAGTCCTATACATTTCGGTAAGAAATCAGGACGACCAAAGTTAAAGGCTTCAGCCCAAGATCAATTCTTTTTTCTTTTTTTTCTTGATTTATCGGTTCTTGGTTTCCGAAGTCTTGGTTCTTGCTTCACGTTTTTCTTTCGGCTAATTTAACAAGTGGATTACGGTACCATGGGATGGCACCGTTGGTCTCACATATTTATGAACAAGGTTTCATGGAAGAAATTTCAATTCCTCAAACTAAGTGCTTCCAAGGTAGCCTTCGACTACTAACTTTACACCCTTCTCGATTTTGCACTAGACTGTGAATCCCAACTATCGATTTGAATTTTCTTGCAGGTGCTATTAAGTTTGCGAGAACAGAAGGGATAATACCTGCGCCAGAACCGACTCACGCCATTGCTGCAACCATAAGAGAAGCTCTCCGATGCAAAGAAACAGGTGAAGCAAAAGTGATAATTATGGCCATGTGGACATGGCCACTTTGACCTTACTTCGTATGAAAAATATTTACGAGGCGAATTAGTAGATTTATCATTTAGCGAAAGAAAATTCAAGAGTCTTTGTGCAAGGTTGCTCTTGTTGTTTAGCTCCAAGTTAAGCCCCATGTTCCAAACCAGACGTGTGTAATAAGTAAGGGCATTATCATGCCCTTTTAAATAAAGTGTGTGAGAGAGAGGAGCTTCAAAAATGGACAGTTCGACATAATGTGTAACAAATAAAAAGTAAAAATTTTAAAACCGTATACAATTTGGTTTTGTTTTCCAAGTTATCATCCACCAATTATTTCTGGAAACCCACAGTAAATAATTTCTCGAGTTACTTATATCTGTATATAGACTGTACATAGATTGATGGTCATAAGAGATGAATTACTACCTCCGTTTCAATTTAGTTGTCATTGTAGAATAATATTTTTTTTTTCAAAATAAATATCGTTTTATAATTTTAATGTAAAATATATTGATTTTATATGCCATTCTATTTTTATTGGTTGAAATGTGGTTATATGTATAGGTATTGGTGTTTTTATTTCGAAAATACAGAAAATTAAATATTCTTTTAATCTGTATGCATAAACTTAAAACGACAAGTAAAATGAAAATGATAAAATATAAGTAGTGTGTCAAAACAATTGCTTATTTTGTTATAGATTCTATATGCAAGGATAATCTTGCCTTTGGTTCATAACACGAGATACATAATCTGTTTAAAAATTTTAATCTACTTCTTAATCAACATATTGAGCAAAACAACTGTATCAATCTTAAAGAATACACGTCAACATCCTAAACAGTACACATAGATAACATAATCCAATACCAAATAAACTAAATCTCATTTTACCATCAACATGTTAGCTTAGAGCACACAATAATGATCAAACAAGCCATAAAAACAATAACCATCGGTTTCTTCAACTTGTATTTTGTTTTATCCACAAATGCTTCCACTCATGCAAGAATTTATTTCTCAAACCTCTTTTTCTCTACCTCCATATGCTTAATTTCATTTTGCTCCTCAAGTCTTTCCGTCTGAATTCCCAATGCCTCTATCTTATCTGCCAAAGTCTCTTTAAGCCATTTGTAGGTGTGGTTATCATTGCTACACTACAATACAAAGCAACTTTATTTCTTCAAATCTACGTTAGGTGAACATCGAATAAAATATTCATCAACTTACGTTTCGCTTCACTGCATATACAAAACAAATCGATGGTATGGATCAGCTTCAGACCTCGTCATTCTTGATACCATTATTTCGTCACACCATCATCTCTTCAGTACACCTACAATTCGTCCACTCACTCGAATTCCTGATGTCCCTGTTGAAGCTCCACCATCATTGCTCATCTTCAATTTTGACCAGTTGATAAGATAAGTTTATGTGTTCGTCGTATGATAAGGTTCCTCTAGTTGGGAATTCTTAAAAGCTGGATTCGAGACCCAAATCGGATCTCAGGTTGGGTTGTATTGTATTTTGCTTCGAAGCACTAAATCGATAAATAACCTAAGTATGTTGTTTCGGGTTTCAAACTTTATAATTGGAGATAAATATGTTTGATAAGTTCTCATACGAGAAATTGAGATGATGTTGAAAGATTGTGTGCAATTTTTGTTATATGATACTTGTGATGCGGAAGTCTGTTTTATAACTTCTCATTAGGTAGTTTTTGACTATATTATTTATTTTACGTTGTATTAAGGGATTTATCGTATAACTTTTCTAGAGATGGACATTCAAATAGCCGTTAATTCGGTTGATCTATTCTGATTTTGGATTTTTAAGGTTAGAAATTTAAGTTTGATTGGGATATTTACAAATTTCATTTTAGATTTGGTTCTAATCGTTGCGGGTTTGGTTCGTGTCCAAGTTCAGATTATGTAGTTAAGTAAATCCAAATTTGTAGTTATGTAATTTATAAAAAAAACTCCAAATAAAATTAAGTCCACAAATACCAAAATAAACATAATATAAAAGATAAAATTGAATAATGTAAGACTTAAGTTTACATAAAATTAGTTAAACTTAAATATTTGGATGAAGAACAAATATATATTTTAATATTTTCAACATTTTTGTTATTTTTAGAGATTTACTCTTGACTATTTTAATAATTTTTAGATATTTCATATTTTTGAATATTTAATAGATATAAATTTAAAGCTATTAATATATTTAAGTATATAATTGTGATTTGGATATTTTCAGTATCCAAAATATTTCAGTTTGGATCAGATTTGTGTTTGGTTATCCGGATATTAAAATTTTAGATTTATTTAAGTACTTAATCAGTTTTAGTTTGTGTTTAGTATTACTTTCAACTCATGTTTGCTTCGGTCCTTCGGATCAAGATATTTTACCCTAACTTACTTTCTTCTACTAATATAAAGCAAATTAAAATAAATATAAAAACAAATATTTTGGGTTTAATTTACACACATAATTATTGGACCATACTTTAAGAATACTAATAAAATGGTTGGGCGTCATGTAAATATTATTGGACATGTTGCAAAATTGACGTATTATATAACCAATAACATGTACTTTCTTATAAAAAAATTGATCTAACAGAAGGATTTAAGCTGACAAAAAAATTCTTATAAAAAATTGTCGGCAAATATTATAAAAATAATGATATAATTGACTGAAAGGGGTTAGGGTTGCGTTAAAAAGAATGTGATATCTTCACTCGGTACCTGAATTCTGTTTTTCAATCATTTGACAAATTTTCTTTCCTTTTAAAGTTTTTCTGATTTCTAATTTTTTTAACAATCTGTTTTATTTATTTATTTTCTGATATGAAAACTCTATAAAGGAAATCAACACTTGGCTAAACTAAAAAACTGAATTTGTGTGTAGTGTTTTTAAATTTAATTTCCTTAATTCATAACCATCACAATTACTTGTTGTCTTCATGCACAAAATCCTCAACTATGGCCAAGCTCCGCAAGGTACGGAACTATCAGTTTCTAAAACAATTTTTATTTCACCATTTTAGTTTATGCGAATCTTACTGGTTTTCATTTTTTTTCTTTTAACAATAATATTATTCAATAGTTGGAAGAAAAGAACTTTAATTCACTATTCAAAAGTTAAAAATGCTTGAACTAAAAATGAGTTGATTAAAAATTTAGTGTGTGAACACATTAAATTGTGTGTACCGGAGTTAAAAAATGATTGTAAGGCTGTTACATTACATCAGCCTTCTAAGTTTTAATTCATTGTGAGATTGCCATATATTAATTAGTGTGTGAACACTTAATTACTAATGATTCTCTATTAATATATACTAGGTGGTTATCGCATTCACAAGTATTAATAGTTTTTAAGAAATTTAAGCTAATATAAAATTGTTACTTTTTTACACTTTATAATATATTCTATTATTAAAAATTTAATGTGAATTTTATTTGTTATATATATTCGAAATAAATAAATTTATATCTATTATTTATTCTATTAAATTTTTGACATCATTTATTCTATAACTTTTAAATATAAAATATATATTTGTAGTATTTTATTATATTTTTATTTATAACTATAATAAAAATAATTAATATGCTCCAACAGTCATTTGCTAATATCTATCATATGTAATTTTTATTTCAGAATTATATGAAGTTAATATTACATTACGCTTATAAATCATATAATATTTTCTAAACATAATACATACATAATAGCACAAAGAATATTTTCTAAAGATAATATATACATGATAATATTTTCTGAAATCAAAAAATAGTTTCATCAGTTAAATGACTGATAAGTTCACCATATAAATTATTTAACGTCAAACATGCAGAATTTTGATATCAATAATCAAATAACTGAGATATATGAAAAACAGTTAAACACACTCCCTTATATAATTGATATTGTTTGTAAGTCAAGTATAAATGATTACTCATATTTTCGTATATCATTAATCTATAAGGTACACAATAACAAAAATGACAAAAAAATATTAGTTACTAATTTATTTATTTTTAGTTATATATATAACATGTAAAGAAAGTTTTTTAAAAGTTTCTTAAACAGATTATATTTGAATATGTATAAAATAATTATCCTTTTTTTACAATCGATATAGGTTTTTACATGTTCATTGATGAAAAAGCAACTTCAATCTGTTTTTAATATCAAAAATTAGTTGGGGTGTGCAAATATAACCCAAAACTCAAAGTCAAACATAGAACTAATCCATGAATTTTTTGGAAACTTCATTTGTCCTATTCACCCCAGAAGTTCTGATTATTCACGAAAATGCCATTATGTTTTTTTGAAAATTAATGTTTTACTCTATCATCCTTGTACTCATCAATTAATCACAAAAATATCATTGACATCAATCCACCCAACAACCATGAACAACCAATATGAAGCTCCTAATGCATCTAAAAACGAAATTGACTAATTCTATCTCATATCTTATGCACAAAAATTACATCTCTCTCACTCTCTATATTCATCCAAAAAGCCCAAGCTATTTGATTCTAAAGTTTTTAAAGTTGATATAGCCATTCAAACTCATTATTCTTGGTCATTAGCGATTGGGTCGCTGTCGTGTGTGTTCTTGGAGAACTAAGCAAGTTTTCTCAGTGGTTTAAGATATGAATCAAATGTTATCCCAGATTTATTCGCGAGAATACTTGCACAGAAATCTTCTGGTCAAAGCATATCTTAGTTTTGTAATTGATTTTATGTGTGTTTTCTAGAGAAGACTTCTCTGGAAGTTTTTGTGGATAAACATGTTAGTTTTGCAATTGACCGAATTTTGTCAGAAATTTGACTTTTCACAAAAGACTTCTCGGGAAGTCTTCTTAACTTTTACATTAAGTCTACTCGTTGTTGGTGGAAGTCTGCGTAGGTTATTTTTGCAATTGAATTTTAAATTTGAACATTTAATTTAAACTGGAAGACTCGTGGGAGTCTTCCAGATTTTTATTTCGTGATTCTGGTCAAATCTAAGGTAATGAAAGAAGACTTTCACGGAAGACTTCCCTTAAAGTCTTCTCAACAAAGTCAAATATAGCCAATTGCAAAAGTAACTTAAGCAGAATTCATGTAAAAGTTGAGAAGACTTCCCTAGAAAATAGAAAGTCAAATTTATAACACAATTCGGTCAATTGCAAAAGTAAGCCAATATTTACAAATGAAGACTTCCTTAGAAGTCTGCTGTAGAAGAGACTTCTCTAGAAGTCTGCCTTTGTAAGTTTTCAGTTGCAAAAATGACCTAAATGGAAAGCTTGCACGGAAGTCTTCTCTGAGAAGACTTTTGGGACGACTTCCACGAAAGTCTTCTACGTTAATGTATATTAAACTTTCATTTTTTTGAAATTTAAAATGAATTTTTAAGATTTTATTGTTAGTTCATGTGTTTTAGACAATATTTGGGTTCCTATATTAAATTCACAACTTAATTGGTGATAATTTAGAAGTTATCAAATATGTTTATTAATGTTTATAACAAATGATAGACCCAAGGAAATATTCCGGGTTTTCTTCATATTCATCCTCAAATTAACTTCATCTTCACACAAATTATGAACAGTGCTCACAAACTCAAGAACCTTGTGCAGCCTGTCACTCGACCAACACAAAAGCACGTTAGCTAATAGCTACACATAATCTCCATGGCTTGAGATGTCACAGCTAAAGTTCTTATACCTTTCTTTCTGGAAAGTTTTGCATTAGCATCAGACAAGGTCTGAAGAAGTTCGGCTCGGGACTCTCGGCAGCCTGTTCAACTTTTCTCTTGTAAACAAAAATTTTGTTTTAATGCCTTTACCTAGATGATTAACAAATTTGGCCGCTGCATCACCCTAGCAACAAATTTATAAAATATTACTTGAAGATTACAAACGCGAAACTGAGTGTTTTTAGATGAACTTCAATAGAAAAAACAATAAAAATTCAAATAGCATTTTGAACAAGTAAATGAAAAACAAACACACATATTCACTAACTGAATCATTTATTTGTGAGATATCAAATTCAAAGTTTATACTCTTCGACCAAATCGCCTATCCCTCTGCTGATACCAAGTCAAGGCCTGGAGATAATCCGCCTTGACAAAGTCAGGCCACAGAACATTAGGAAAGTAGAGCTCAGTGTAAGCTGATTGCCATAGGAAGAAGTTACTGATCCTTTGCTCTCCACTCGTTCTGATCAATAGGTCAGGATTTGGGAACTCGCTACAGCTTGTCATCAACTCTTTGTCAATCAGCTTTTCGTCGATGTCCTCCACTTGTATCAGTTCGTTTTTCGCCTTCTCAGCAATATTTTTGCAAGCTTGTAATATATCATATCTTCCACTATAGTTTATTGCCAGAATGAGGTGCCTCTCTTCGTATCCCTTTGTAGCTTCTTCTGCCTCTAGTATTGCACCTAGAAGAGACTCTGGTAGACTCGTGCGGTTCCCAATAATAGAGATTTTGATTTTCAAACTGAAGATGAATGGAAAATTAGCATATAACGCTTCAAAAAGGATCAAAATAACATGCTGCGTACCTTTGAAAACTAGGTATCTCTGACTTCAAGAATTTCTCAAACATGGACATCAAGTAGTTAACTTCATCCTGATCAAAGAAAAGAAAATTAACATGGACATCAAACCGACGAAATTATAAGCAGGCCCGGCTCGTTTTTTTTATGTGGACATTGTGAAAGATCTATTTTTACAATAATAATTACAAAAATATCATGAAAAAACCCTAAAATTTTGAAAAAGACCCAAAAAGACTTACTAAAATCTTGTGATTCTTTTAGACCTAGTGATGCACTTATGACAAATGCCAAGAGCTGGCACTGATAAATCGTGAAATCTCTATAATTTTATTTAAGAAGACAGTATTCTAGGTGTCGCGCTCATATTAATTTTTACGATGGTTAATTATAGTACTATACTTAATGCATCAATCTTGTCATTATTAAAAAGTATTATTTTTCAAATACAAAAATATTCTTCCCTTTTAGAAGAGAAGCTTAAAACGTAATATATATTTTAAAAGTAATAAATATTTTATTTAAATAAATATATTTCTCAAATTATTACAAAATAATTTAAATAACATATTGGTATCTTTAGTGAATAAACAATAATATTTTTTATTTAAGCTTCCTTTTTATTTCCGTATAACATATATGATAAATAAAACATGTACGATGCTAAACAAAACATTTAAAAATTTTGAAGTGAAATAATTTTTATTTAATCTGGTTTCATAAAACATAAATGTTTTAAAAAATAATTTGATATTAAAGTAAGAAATAATCCTCCCTTTTAAATTTTATCTATTGTGTTTTTATGAAATTTCATACTCATCAACACTTTATTTTTCTAATTTCATTTGCAAATCAACATATAAAAAATTTAAAAAAAACTGAAAATATACTTACACATCCAAGATGAAGAACTAAACTAATACAATGTATACAGCTAATTGGTTTGGCTGAATTAGATTAAAAATATTTGTACTTTAATTTAAAAGAATATATGGAACACAATATACCCAAAAATGAGTAACTAGACCAATCCAAATTCTTATATCCAAATCAAAAATTTAACTAAAATGGTATTTTATTATTATTTATAGTAATATTTTTTTATACATATAGATTAAAAAATGACTCAACATATTAAAATAAATATAATTTCTCAAATAGTATTATAGAGATATTGACCAACTGTTACAATTATTATTTTTGTATATCTATATATATACATGAGATTTCAAAAGATAATCATTGTTACATTTATTTTTACTATTTGATTTTCAAAACAACATCTACTAAACTATACATAATTTTATTAACATATATTTACTAATAAAAGAATCAAATCAAATGAAAATAACAAATTAATCAATTTTTTAATTTATGGAACAAAAATATTATGTTTGAATCGAAACGTAGATGTTATCAATTATATCAAAATAACATCCAAACATTATATAAAGCATACATCTAATTAATATAACATGATATATTAAAAAATTAACTATATGTATTAATAACAATATCAATTATAAAATAATTTAAATTAAAAATAAAATATTTTAATAAATTATTGTAATGTATTTATTCTGTAAATGTTTATATACGTGCATGAGTAGAGTACTAAAAAAAACACCTAGTATTATAGAAAATATTAATAATCACCTCGGGTCTTCCCCAATTCTCAGTGGAGAAAGCAAAGAGTGAGACAATGTTTATCCCTAAATTGAAAAATTCCTTAGCAAGCTCTACAACTCTCCTCGCTCCAGCCTCGTGACCTTCTGCTGTCTCGCGTCCTTGTTTCTTTGCCCAACGTCTGTTTCCGTCCAATATAATCGCCACATGCTTTGGCATTCTTTCTTGTTTCTCTTTCTTTCCAATTGTACCGCTACAGATTAGTAAAAACAAAAAATCTTGAAACTTCAGTATAACAGTATCTAGTAGAACAGAGATCCACCTGACGACCCATTAACAATATATATAAGCTTATAGTCTACTACTATGTGCTAATCCTGTTGTCATGTCATAATTTCACATTTAAATTCGGTAATACTCTGCGTATAGGTGAGTTTTAGAAAAAAAAAATGTATCATGTTATGAATATCCCACATTATAATTGAGGTGAGATCTTGAGTGAAAGATAAAGAACTTGGACTTATCCACTTCTTAGTATTAACTGATTATTAGTTAGAAGTTCATAAACCCTAACACATCAAATGTGCTTATACTGAAAAAGTCCAAACTGCTAGGATATTTCAAGTTTAGACCTATCACATTTAGAAGAGAATTCTTCAAATATATTAGTCGATGAGACCCAATACTTACCTATCAATTTTCTTACTTAAAAGAGTAAACTATGTCGTGTTGATTTTTAAAAGCAGAAAAACTGCCACCCTAGCATTTAGCATTATGGACTTGCACACTAGAATGTTATAAAAACTCTAAATAGATGCAGCAAACCAAATGAATATATATATTCTAGTAGTTCCGTAAGGTCGGTTGAATACGGCCAACTAATTGGCTACTATATATGCAGTTCACATTATTACTAGGTTGTAGGTTCTGATTAGTTAACTTTATATTAGACTGAAAGAAACCATTCATTTTATCAACAAGAACAAAAATAAAAAGTTTATAACGTAAAAGTATGATTAACATGAAGCACACTACCATTTCTCGTACCTCTCTTCTTCATCGTTGCCTTGAGAAGATGCTATTTTATTGAGTCTGCAGATATTTGTAAAGGAGAGGGGAACACTTAGACGCCTAGAGATAAAGAGACAAGGAATGATAATAAGACCAAGAAAAGTCAAGCCAATAGAGAGTAGGGACAACATTATCTTTTGTTTTCAATATTTGTTTGGATTCATCAGTTAGTACTCGTCCATATATATATACTTGGAGGGATCCGGGTTCAAAGACGCACATGTTCAACGGAACCTTCTCCCCGTCTTGCTGTATGTCTCCCTTGATGCAAACTCAAAGACAGATCATACGTATTTAAGGTTAATAGGATCTTACGATTCTTGAAAATCACTAATGGTTCCGTCCCGTAGTTTCCTTAACTATTAAAATAAGACTTCTGAGTTTGACTTTGCCTTCTGTAGATCAATCTAACCATGAAATTAGTTACATTAACGCAGTCTCGTAACGTATTACAAATTCAGTGTCTCAAAAGATACAATACTCCTTCGATCCCTTGGTTTCAATTTATTTGGTGTTTAACTTTTCTAAATAAAATTTAATGTCAGTTAAAATTTGTTATCAGTTACAAAGTGCTGCATCCATCTTAAAACAAAAACATTATGACTTTTTCTAGGTGGATTTTTATATTTGACTTCCTATTAGATATGTTCTATTTTTATCCTAAAAAATGTTTCTGTTACTAGATTATTTATGATAAAAAAGATAATTGATATGCTCACAATTTTAGAAAGAATCTCACCTAATTATTGAGAAAGCAAATCAGAAACGATCGTTTCATGAAAATTGTATTTTCAGAAAAACTACTAAATGTACCAGATTTGATAACAATATTTTGAGATGTACTTTATATATAAACAGAAAACACATTTAAATATATACTGAATGCACTACAAAAAAAGACCACATTGATAACAGATTGTTGTAGCACGTTTTACCGAACTGCTATCATAAAAAAATTAGAAATTTCCATATTATATAATAGCACTAGATAAATGCTATGATACAATAAAAGCTAAAATAGCACATAATTAATGCTATTTTAAAATTAAGTGAGCGGGAAGATAAAATCACCGATTCCCCCAAATACTTAGCGCCAAAAACATAATTTAATTGGTTTTGGTAATGCTATAATAGCATTTTTCTAATGCTAAAAAAAACGATCTGAACCCTTAAACTTTATACATGATTTTAAATCCTAAACTCTAAAGACAAACCCTAAAACTCTAATTTTTATATGATAACTTCAAATTTTATAATTAAACTCAAAAATTAATCTTTTTAATTTACAAGCTATAATTTTCTAAGCACAAATCATAAACCTTTTGGTCAAAACAAAAATCATACCTGAAATGAAATGGGTAAGTTGAAGCCCTAAAACTATTTTTACACCCTAAACTCTAAACATAAATTTTCAAACTCTATAGTTAGAGTTTAAAAATTTATGTTTAGAGTTTAGGGTTTAAAAATTGATTTAGGGTTTTAAGTATAAGCTGAAAGTATAATATTTTCTAAAAATCAATCGAAATCTTAAATCTATACCCCAAACATTTAACTCTCAAATGTTTATTCTAAACTCTAAACTTTAAAAATAAACTTTAAATAATTTTTTTTAAACTTAATAAATAAAATATTGAGTTATAAATCATAAAAATGTTAACTTATATACATATGTACTTTACACAAGTTATATATAAATCTTAATTTATTTACATATGTACTTTACATAAATTCATTTTTATAAAAGAAATCCTATAAAAATAAAACCTCAATTTTTTTTAAAGTTATATACCATTAACTTTATAAAATAAATTATAATTTAATTTTTATATAAATGAAATTACTTATAGAATTAAATTATAATATTTAAATAACTACTAAATAATTTTTTTTTGATTGATTAGGTTTGACCATTGATGTCTTTAATCCAATGCTATTAATCATCTTTTGTTAATACTCGTCCTTTTTTCTGATTGGTCCACATCTTTATGCACAACGATAACATTATCATCCATTAGATGAGATCTAGTTCGACGGTTCACTTGTTATTCATCTATTATAGATCTCTCCTTGTCAATCTATCGTTTTCTTCTCTTCTACATTCAGATTTTTCTCACAAACACACTATTCATCTAAGCTATCTACACTATAAATATATGAACATATAAAAATCCCTCAACTCAAAACTTTCGAATTTTTCATCTGATTGAATTTTAAATATTCAACGTAAAAACAATCCGCTCAAATAGTTTTTTTCTTTGTAGTTGAACTAATTCAATATAATACTACTCTTACGTAACCACAATAAATTGTAACTAAATTTAAAATTTCTTAATCTTTTTGCAAAAACCTTAAACATCAACCAAAATGAAACAAAGAAAATATGATTTAACAGATTAAAACAGACTTCTCTCTTTTGAATAAAATAAACACTCAATTCAAAATGATATTACTCTAATATTTGTTTCTCTCTTTTGAATAAAACCTTAAACATCAACTAAAATGAAACAAAGAAAATATGATTTAAGATATTAAAACAGCTTCTCTCTTTTGAATAAAATAAACATTCAATTCAAAATGATATTGGCATATTGCTCTCGTATTTGTTTGGATACATAGGTTTTTTTCCACATCTTGTAAAACAATAATGAAACAGCCAATTTAAATATTTTATTGACTTGTAGTACAGCGTTTAAGCAAGAACTAGAAGCTAGTTAGAAAGCACGTTAGCGTTTAGTGCGGTGCCAAGAACTCGCTAGGCTCTTGAGCAGTAGTTGCAGTTGCTTCAAGCTTAAGGAAATCAAATGTGTTTTTAAGTTATTTTGTTTCTTTTTTTTGGTAAAGCGTTTTCAAGCTTTGTGCACTAGATAAAATCTATGAGAGAATTTTTAATAAGCTTTTCAAACTATTACTTGACTACTATCTTCAAACTTAACCATTCTAATACAAGACTTTTTAATGAACTCGGCATGTTCGAAATAAAAAAAACGATTTGTAGGATGAGTTATTTGAAATACGTTTATTGAGAAATCAAAGATTGACTACAAGAAAATAATTGAGAAAGATATGAACTCGGAATGAACATTGTAAATGTCCCTTTTTTGTGCAAGATCCAAGGTTTTGGAAACCGGATCGGACCGGCCGGTCCGACCGGTCTGACCGTGAATCGTCTTTGTATTCGAGTCCGGTTTAAGTTGAAACCCGGATGTGACCTAAACCGCTAAAATCGGTTGAAAACCGGCAAAAACAATGACCCGGTTTAGTATTAGAATCTGGCTTTCTAAACTGCATCATTTATTTCCTTCTTTGCGTTACAATTTAATGCAAATATTATTATTTGTCTAGGAAATCTGTCTATTTTTATGTTACTTTTACTTCAAAATAAGGAAATTAAAATTGGTTAAAGAAATTCTCATGTAAATACACTGAGAAATATAAGGAAACTTATGATTTATATAACTAATCTATGTATTATTTACTTAAATTTTCTTTGATTAGTTATATTTTTGTATCTATAACTAAATATTTTCAAATCATATGTTTTTCAAAGTGTTTTATGATAGTTCCATTTCATATTATATATATGGGTGTGTATATATAAAGAAATCAAAACTCCGGTTCAACCGGTTGAACCGGTCTGACCAGCTATCCAGTGATGATGCCGAGCCGATGTCCGATCCAGTTTTCAAAACATTGGCAAGATCTCTTTTCTTTTTATTATAAACGAGTATGCGGACTTCTTTCTTTTTTCTGTAGCTGACATGCCTCTTCTTTTAATTGGGCCAAGTTCATTTACGTTTTGGGCTTTGTCGAGGGACTTAACTTGTTTCCAACAATAAGGAGGTGATTGGTTATGGGTGAAGATGCTATAGACTGCAAAATTTAGTCTAGTGATAGTGACATATATGTCAATTAATCAAATCTATACTATTAAAGCAGGATCCTATTGTTAAAATTTCGGATTCTACCCCTAGATTTTTATCAAATTTATAAGATAATACCACTATTTATTTTTAGAATCTTAATTAATTAAACAATTTAATATCTCCTATATTTATGGTAACTGATAATATTTCCTATTTTGTGATTAATAATAATTTTCCTTTTATGAAAATTATGATTTTCTATTTAATTTTAATATCATATTTCCGTGCATCATATTATTTAGTGATAAAAAATTATAAATTATTATTTGCTGTTTCATTTTATCCATAATAATGATATGTCAATTCAATTTGTTTTAAAAACTAAATTTTAGATATAAAATGAGTAAAAATGTAAACTTATCATGGGTTATTAATAACGAAAAGAAACTAATATTGTTATATGAATAAATTGTGTTTTTTTTCTATTGCTATTGTTTCTTTTTTTCAAATGACAAGAAAGATTTTATTAAAGAAATTACAAGAAATCAAATTTCTTTAATATTAAAAATATGAATTATTTAACAAATTTTTAAAAATATATTATCAGTTTTTATGGGGTTATTTAATGGATCAACGAATATCATAATACAGATTAATAGCGGGTTTTAAGATATATATCGGGTTGACTTAAATTTTTAATTAGTAAATTTTAATTAAATCTCAACTGGATTATATAAAATTGCCGGATGTACCGGTTCAACTATGGATCTGGGCCGGATATTGAAACATTACGTGAAAATCAAACATTATAATCAAACTTTTTTAAATATTAATAAAACAATTTTAAAATTTTTGTGTTTGAATAATTAATTTAAATAAATTTTATCAAAATGGTAAAAATATACCCGCGCTTTAAAAGCGCGGGTCAAAATCTAGTTTTTCTTTAAAAGAAAAACTACAACAAAAAAAATCTTTGAAAAAATAAAAAATTACTCTAAAACTCTTTATTTACAGAGCAAACAATAAATGCTTTACAAAACCATATCAAATAATCTATAGTCAAAAACATAAATCTACAACTCATTCTAATCACCTTCTAAGTCTCTCTAGTTCACTGCGAGAGACAAAATCGATCTCGATGAATTATTTACCAAGGATGTGTCTAAAATGTAAATGAACTCGGTGTAATTTATCCTTCAATTGATGCCAATTTAATCATCTCGGCTCTCCCCATGATTCATTCTGGTTGCCCTTATGAGCTGGGTCAA